AACTTTCAAGATTGAAAATGTAACTTACACTAATTGGCTGTTGAATTTTCTTGTTTATCGTGACAACGTTAAACATTGCTTCTATGTTCTTATATCTCAATATTCTCGATATTCTCGATTTTACAAGATACACGATACTTCCAACTTTTATGTATCAAAGATAAAGAAAAACTGATTTCTATCTTCGTGAAAAACGTTTTAAAAACAATCGCGGAAAGTTTATCGCAACATCCACAGATTTATCGCGAACCAGTGATCAGATAAATTTCCATTTCGAATTTATCGCGATATCAAAATGGTAAATCTCGCGGGAATATTTGAAAAATATTACATTTCGAAATTTGATTTAAAATCGATCTTTCAAACTCTCGATTCTTTTGAATTCAAAAGGAGAGAAAAAGCTTTTTCGAATATTTCGAAACTCGAGATCGATCTTCTTCCAAACTCTGGATTTTGAAATTCGAAAGCGCGGAGGAGAAGAAATTTAAAAAAGGAACGGCGGGAATACTTAAAAATATTACATTTCGAAATTCGATTTAAAATCGATCTTCCAAATTCTCGATTCTGAATTTAAAAGTGCGGGAAAAAAGAATTTTTTCGAACATTTCGAAACTCGACTCGATCTTCCAAATTCTGGATTTTAAATTCGAAAGTACGGAAGAGGAGAAAAGGAATGGCGGGAATTTTGAAAGATAGTTCGAAGATATTATTATATTGATTTGAACTCGATCTTCAAATTCTGGATTCACTTTTTAAATTCGGAAGAGGAGAAAACTTAAGAAAAGGAAGTCACGGGGAATTTCGAAGATGTTACATTTTGAAAATTAGCCCGAGATGGAAAAAATCTTTCGAAAAAGGGAGTGAAAAGTGGAGGTTTGAGGGGAAATTCGAGTATTGTGTCGATCCAATTGGACAAATTTGACACGAAATAACGTTGCCTTAGAGATTAAGGAGAGAAGATTCAAAGCGTATTGACCGCCTTCGGCCTCAAAGCGGACCGGGGATCTCGAATTATTGGAGCAGACTTTTTGCCCAGACTTTTTGCACGGTCTTTTTGCATCGTCTTTGCCGAATGTGTGAAAGAGGTGCAGAATCCCATTATGGGATTGTACAAGAAGAGTTGAAAAGAGAAGGTAAAAAAAAAAAAAATAAAAGAAAAAAGAAAAAAAGAAGATTACGTAGAATTCTAATAGTAAACAAAAATTTGCCTTTAATCTTCCTGATTGAGCGTGAAAAAAGTTAGTCTCCGTTTAATCGATTTTCGATAATATTTTGTCTTATATTTTCATTCTACCATAAAACATCGATATTTAATGATGCAACGAATTTTTGAAGTTGATCGTGATTTCCAATATTGCTTTTCCTTTTGAATTTTTGACGAAAGATTATCCCAACTGTATTTTCGAGCTTTTCATTTTAATTGGACGGACTATATATTTCCAAAGTGTCTTTTTTTTCCTTTTTTTTTTCCTTTTTTTTTCCTTTTTTTTTTTTTTTTTTTTTTNTTTTTTTTTTAATGGTAA